CGGCGTGAGTTCTAAGCCACCGGGTCCGGGACGCGAACCGCGGTCGACTACGTGGGAGTCCAGCGACATAGCCATTACACTAACTGCTGGTTCCCGCTGCAATCCCTTCTTCACCACTCTCCTCTCTGGATCTTGGGCACGCATACACACACACCCAGTGTGAGTTTAAGCCACCGGGTCCGGGACTCAAACCACAGGTCGACTCTATGGGAGTCCAGTGACATAGCCATTACGCCACTGCTGGTCCCTGTGGGACGCTCTTAGAACATGCTTGGGGCACGGAAAATGCTAATAAGTGTTTGGTATTACTAATATTATTATTACTTTAAAATTTATTCATTTGTTTCTTCTACGAGACAGACAGACACCTCCTACATCGTCTTCATGCTGCAAACCCCACGAGCCTCAGCCAGCCCAGAAGGTAGGCACGGGTGCCCTGAGAACTCAAGGATGACTGCCCTGGGACTCAGGCCTTTCCCCCGCAGGTCCGACCGCATTACCACTACACCACGAGCGGGAGAGAATTTGCCAAGGCCAGAGAGGCCCTAGAGTGCCCTGAGGGCCCTGCCCACCCGCTGCCCACCCGGCCAGGAGCCCGCACCTGAGGTGGAAGATGTGGGAGCAGGGCAGGGCCTGGAGCCGGCTGTTCTTCTCGCCGATGGACTCCCCGCACAGGCCGCAGTACAGCTCCGTCTCCTCCACGCACTCGTGGAAGCGCACCACGTGCGCACGCAGCTCGCGCTGCAGCCCCTTACTGCGGTAGATGCTCTCGCTCAGACAGTGCAGCTTGAGCTGGCTCAGCTGGGCGGGAGGGCAGGAGAGCGGGCGTCAGCGAGCAGGCTCCGGCTCCACCTGCTCCCCCCTGCCCTGCTGGTGGGCCTGGGAAAGATGTGCTGCCCTCTCTGGGCCTTCTTCCCTTTCCAGAGAAGGAGGTGAAGTCAGAGGTCTTCCCCCTAGAATCACCTGGAGACCCTATGTCCACCAAATCTAAATTGACTCCACAGTAATTCGTCTGCTCTCCTGTTTCTACAAATTACATGTATATGCAATAGCTCATCAGCATTTAAAAAAAAATTTGCCAAGGGTGCATGCACTTTCCGGGAAAAGAGAGGAAGCACCCCTCATAAGGGATGGTCACACCACAGTCTCTCCCCTTATTTCTCCCTCCTCTTGGGATTTTGGGCACACATGTACATGTGACACGTGCCCAACGTGTTTCTCAAGCTGTCAAATCCAGGATTTGAAACACATAGTAGGCCGTGTGGGATCCAGCTACTTCAACCACCAAGCCACGGGCTGGCCCTTTTTCTTTTCTTTTTCAGTTTTTGATATAGGGCATGCACGCACTCACAGGGGAGAGAGAGACAGGGAAAGTGAAAAATTACCCCCCAAGGTGAATGGCCACACGGCAATCCCTTCTCTATTCCCTTCTCGGGATTTTTGGGCATGCACGTAGATGTGCCCAGTGTGATTTTCAAGCCACCAAGGCCCAGGACTCTAACTGCGGTCAGTCATGTGGGAGTCCAGCACCTTAACCACCAAGGCACCACCTGCCTCCCAGACTGGCCCTTCTTAAACTTGCTAGAGGGTGCATGTGCTCCCTAGAGAGAGCCAGAGAGAAGAAACCTGAGAAAGTCACACCCACACAATTCCTTTTGCACCCATCTCTCCTTGGTGGGGCATGTGGGATCCAGCCACCTCAACCACCAAACCATGGGCTGGCCCAGCTCCTCAGTATTTCTGATCAGCCCAAGATACCCGGTAAACCCAAGTGCCTCTAATCTGGCCCAGGCAAAAAGTTTAGCATTTTATTTTAAAAAAAAAATTGTTTTTAAGGTTTTGGCCATAGGGCATGAGTACTTGCTGGAGAGACAGACGCCGAGAGAGGGAAAGTGAGAAATTTCCCAGGCCACACCCTAATCCCTTCTCCTCCATTTTCCTCGTAGGATTCTGGGCACGCACACATGCACCCCGCGTGATTGTCTCTTTTTCTTTTTTCCACGTCAGACGGGTAGTGTGCCGGCGTCGTAACAGGAGGGAGGCACATCCACGCACAGGCGTGAACATCCAATCATCACACTTATGAACCACAAAAGGATCGATTGTCTCTCTTTTTGAAAGAGATGTTTGCTATAGGGCGTGTGCGCTCGCCAGAGAGACAGAAAGTGAGAAATCACCCTCTGGTGGGATGGCCCTTCTCCTCCATTCTCCCTTTAGGATTTTGGGCATGCAAGCACACATGCCCGGTGTGGGTCTTAGGTCGCCAGGTCCAGGACTCGGACTGCGGTTGATATGTGGGAGTCCAGTGACGTAGCCCTATGCCCTCTGCTGGTCCCCCCAGTGTGATTTTCAAGCCACCAGGTCTGGGCTCAAACCACAGTTGGCCATGTGGGGAGTCCAGAGCCTTAACCACCATTTCATCTGCTGGCCCCCTCAGTTAGCATTTTTGTGCACCTGATCCCAGAGCAACTCCCATCTCCCTGAAGACTGAGCCCTGCTGAGCCTGTTCTCACGTGCTGAGGTGTGGATACGATTACTAAATTGGAAGGGGCCACGTGTGCTCTAGAAGGAACGTGGGCTTTGGAGGGAAGAAAGTGCCGTTAGTAGGTGTGGGGCCTTCGACCTGGACAGCCTCGCCTTCCTCATCTGGGGCCCACCTGGCAGGGCGATGGCAAGCCCTGGCCCTGAGAGCTGCAAGGCCCGTGTGTGCCCACTCCCAGGGAGAGGAGGCCGCTGTCAGGAGTTTGACTCCACACCGAGAGGCTGCGAGGGCTCTGCTGTCCTCCGAGCTATGACTCCCAACCCGCCCTCGGTGTCTCTGGGTGGAAAAGAATGAGCCAGGCCCAGGGCTGGCTGCGTGGGCAGGCCCCAAGGAGCAGAAAGGGCTTAGGTACCAGCAGGCTCAGGAGGGTCTCCCCCATCCCGAGTTCCAGCCATGGTGTCCCCTCTGGGAGGCAAACTCAGGTCTCACCTTGTTTCCCACCTCCTCGGCCAGGTCTTGGGCCCTCTCGATGGCGTCCAGAGCCTGGAAGGCGAGCACAGGCCAGGGCTGCAGGCAGATCTGTCTGACAGGGGCTTGGCTCATGGCACAGGCGGGGTCGGGAGGGTGGGCCTGGGAGGGCGAGCTGGGGAGTGTGCCGTGGCTCTGGGAGCTGCCCTGTGTGTGGAGGCAGCAGAGAGACTGGGGTGCAGACGAGGAGGCCGTGAGGGCGCGTTATCTCCTGCCTCCGTTCACTCGCACACAGAATGGGGAATGAGAACTGTCCACCCCACAGGGTGTTATGAGAGCACGGAAGGTCACTAGCTGGTCTGGGTTTAAACCCCAGCTCTGGGCCTTGACTAGCTGTGAGTTCCTTGGGCCTTCTTTGAAGCTCGAAAATGATCAGGACCATCCTGGCCTCGCTGGGTCCAGCGTAAAGGTCAGAGGAAGTAGCTGAAAGAGCCCTGTCCAGCACCAGGTTGGCCCACGGCCCCACTGGGGAGAGCTGGGGGCTCTAGGAAAGGGCCCATCTCACCTTGTCCAGCGCCTTCCTGGCCACCCAGCACTTGGCCACGCCCAGCAGCACCTGCACCTGCCCCAGGCGGTTTCCAATCTCCGTCATGATGCTCATGGCGGAGTCGTACCTGGGGAAGGCCGTCTGCAGAGCCAGGTGGAGGTGGAGTCACGCTGGGCCAGGCCGGACCCCCTCCCCACCCTCCTCACCCTGGTGACCTCACCTCCAGGTCCCCACGGCTCCGGTGGATGTCAGCAAAGCAGAGCAGGCAGAGTGCTTGCAGCGGCCGGTCGCCATGCTGCAGTGCGATCTTCATAGACTCCTGGGAGGGAGACCCATGGGCCACTCAGGTCTGCTCATCTGCCTGCAGGGACACCCTCCACAGCCGGCCCCTCTGAAGGGACAGCCCAAAGATCACCAGTATCTGCGGGGCCTAGTACAGCTATCGTGGTACTGAGGCCTTGTGCTCCAACCCACGGAGGTCGTGGCTCCCAGGGAGGTGGCCGCTGTCACTTGACAGAGCAGAAATGGCTTGACCAAGGCCACCCAGCACCAAGGCCACCCAGCTACTCTGTGGCAAAGCTTGGACTTGAACTTAGGTTAATGGAATTTCAGAGACTGACTCTCTTCCTACTCTACTTTTTTAAGAGAGATTTTTTGTTACAGGATGTGTGTGCTCACCACAGAGACAGAAAGTGAGAAATCACCCCCTCAGGGGGATGGCCATGCCACAGTCCCTTCTCTTCCATTATCCTCTCGGGATCTTGGCATGCATGCACACACCCAGGCCTGGCATGTTCTAAGTCGCCAGGTCCAGGACTCGAACCATGGTTGACTGCATGGGAATCCAGTGACGTAATCATTATGCCATCTGCTGATTCCCCTACTCCATTTTTTTCTTTTATTTATTTATTTTTTTGCTATAGGGTGCGTGCGCTTGCCAGACAGACAAAGAGAGACAGAGACAGAAAGCGAGAAATCACCCCCCAAGGGGGATGGCCATGTCACAATCTCTTCTCCTCCATTCTCCTCTCGGGATCTTGGGCACACACGTACGTGTGCCAGGCCTGAGTTTTAAGCCACGGGGTCCGGGATGCAAACCGCAGTCGACTATGTGGGAGTCCAGTGACATAGCCATTATGCTAACTGCTGGTCCCTCCCCTACTCCACTTCTCAAAGTGCCCATGGAGGTTGCTGGGGACAGAGGGAAGCCCTTTCCCCTGAGGATGTCTGGAAGGCAATGATGTCTGGGGAAGGGAGAGAACAAATCCATCTCTCAGAGGCTCAGCTGTGGAGAGGCCTGGCCAGCAGCAAGCCTTGGGGCCTCAGTGAGCTGCTTTGGAAGAGGGGGGCCCTGCTGTCCTGCACCCAGCCCCTGGCCCCCATCACACCACTACAACCACCTGCCCATGTCCCTGTACCCACCTCGCAGCAAGCCATGGCACTGCCCAGGTGGCCCAGCAGACGGTACGCCACAGCCATGTGGTACTGGCTCATGGCCCGGTACTTGAGGCTCCAGCCTTTGCCGTAGTCGTTGACGAGCTCTGCGGCCTTGCAGGGGAAGAACAGGGCTTTCTCGTAATCCTGCAGAGGGCATGTGATGGGAGGACCACCCTGAGTGACAGGAGCCCAGGACAGGGCTCCAGAGCCTGGCTTCTCTGGCTGCCAGGAGCCGCTCAGTGCTCATTCATTCATTCATTCTGGCATAGAGTGATTCAGGCAGAAGTAACTGCCAGGGCAGAGGACTTGAACCACTCCAGAAATGCAAGGACGTTCCTCTCATTGGCTAAATCATCCCGAGAACTTAGCATAGTTCTTGGTACTTAGTAGATGAACAATAAATATTTATTGAATGAATGAATGAAAAGGCACGAGGGGACTTCAAAAAGTTGGTGGAGGGGTCAGCGGGTGGCATGGTGGTTAAAGGTGCTGGACTCCCACATGGCCAACCACGGTTCAAGTCTTGGACCTGGTGGTTTGCTTTCTCACTTCCTCTCTCTCTCTGTCTCTCTCTGATAAAACTCGAAAATAATAATGATAATAATAATAAATAAATAAAATAATTCTTTTTTAAAAAAGTTGGTGGAAATGTACAATTAAATGATAAGTTTATGTTAGTGCAAAAGACTTTGGGGGCCAGCCAGCAGTGTGGGTGACTAAGATAGCTAGATCTTGCATGGCTACCTACATGGTTGGAGTCCAAAAACCTGGCAGTTTGAAAAACACCCTGGGGTATGTGTGCCTACATGCATGCTCAGAACCCCAAGAGGAGTATGGCGGAGAAGGGCCTGTGGTGTGGCCACCCCCACCGGAGGGTGCTTTCTCACTTAGTCTCTCTCTCTCTGGTGAATACACATGCCCTATAGCAAACTAAAGAAAAACTTTCAAATCGATGCATAGGTTTTTCGTAACATATATTTTCTATAGACTTTTATTGTTAGGTTTTTGAGTTTGTTTATTTGCCAATAGGGTGTGTACACTTGCTGGAGAGAGACAGAGAGGAAAAGTGAGAAATTATCCCCTGGTGGGGGAAGGCCACACCACAATCCCTTCTCTTCCATTCTACTCTGGGGATTTCTGGCATGCATGTACATGTGCTCAGTGTGATTTTCAAGCCACCAGGTCTGGGACTAGAACCATGGTTAGCCATGTAAGAATCCAGTGCCTTACCCACCATACCACCTGCTGGCCCCTCTACAAACTTTTTTAAAAGAGGTTTTTTTCCTTTATAATGCATGTGCTTGCTGGAGAGAGAGAGACAGAGAGACAGAGACAGTAAGAGGGAAGGTGAGAAATCACCTCCCAGGGGGATGGCCACACTGCAATCTCTTCTCCTCCATTCTCCTCTTGAGATTTTGGGCACACACACATATGTGCCAGAGTGATTTTTTTTTTTTTGAGAGATTTTTCGCTATAGGGAGTGTGCACTCGCCAGACAGAGAGAGACATAGAGACAGAAAGCGAGAAATCACCCCCCAGGGGGGATGGTCACGCCGCAATCCCTTCTCCTCCATTCTCCTCTTGGGATCTTGGGCATGCACGCACACGCACCTGGCGTGAGTTTTAAGCCACTGGGTCTGGGACGCGAACCATGGTAGACTACGTGGGAGTCCAGCGACATAGCCATTACGCTAACTGCTGGTTCCCAGTCAAAGTGATTTTTAAGCCGCCTGGTCCAGGACTCAAACCATGCAGTCGGTCATGTGGAATCCACCCACCTTAACCTCCATGCCACCTGCTGGCCCCAATAGCTTTATCTACCTGCCCGTGAACAGAGCTGATGGCCTCACCTCATACCCCATTAGGGAAGTAGAAGAAAACCAGAGAGGAGCTCCCTTACTCACTGTATCCAGCAGATTCCCGCCCACCACTCTCTGCTTCCCTTCCTGCCGCTGTGCAGACAGGAGCAGACTGCTCCTGTCCAGTACCAGCCCCTCCACATGCCCACCCACCCCAACCCTGGTCATCAAGTTCTCTCTGAGTTACCGCCATCAGCATACTATTAACAACGTGTTCTGGGACTTCTCACTGCATCTGAGAAATCAAAGCAGCAGCCAGTGGTGGCACAGTGGTAACACAACTGGACCCACGTGGGAAGATCCTGGGTTCATGTCCTGAGACACCCCTGAGCATGCTGGGTGAGCACATGCACACCCTGGTCTGGGCCGCCCAGGACTGGGGGCTGGATCATGGTCTGAAGACCCTACTGGGGGTGCATGTCTTCCTGTTTCTCTCTCTTTTGGAAGAAATCAATAAATGAACTTAAAAAAAAAAAATAAAAATAAAAATGGATCTAGTAGGTGGCATGGTGTTAAGGCGCCGGACACTCGTACATGACCGACCATGGCGACCACAGTTTGAGTCTCAGACCTGGTGGCTTGCTTTCTCACTTTCCCTCTCTCTCTCTGCGTCTCTCTCTCATCAAATTAAAATAAAGAAATAAATACAATAAAATTATATTAAAAAATGAAAAAAAAAACCTTCTCTTAAATCTCATTTCACCATTAGCTATAGTCTCATTTCTCTTTTCCATCAAAGCTAGCAACTTGATCTTTATTCAATATTTATCAAACTAGTTCAACTTAATGCAACTCAGTGACCTCTCACTAACCCCAACAAAAACCTTTCCTTTTTTTGAAGAGGTTTTTGCTATAGAGCGCATGTGCTTGCCAGAAAGACAGAGACAGAGAGACAGGAAACGAGAAATCACCCCCCAGGGGGGACGGCCACACTGCAATCCCTTCTCCTCTATTCTCCTCTCGGGATCTTGGGCATGCATGCACACGCGTCCGGCGTGAGTTTAAGCCACCAGGTCCGGGACTCAAACCACGGTCAATTACATGAGAGTCCAGTGACATAGCCATTATGCTAACTGCTGGTCCCCAAAAACCTCTTCTTAATCTACCTTAATATTGGGCCAACCTATGCATAGTGGTTAAGGGAGCTGGATCCCACCTAGCAGACCATATGGTTCGAATCCCAGCCCTGGTGGCCTGAAACACATTATGGGCATGTGGATGTCCAGCAATCCTGACAAAACGGAAATGGATAGAGGATAAGGAATTATGGTGTGACTATGTCCCATTGTGTAGTGTTCTCTATCTCTCTCTCTGTCTCTCTCTGGTACACACATGTGCAGGGGGGGATACATGCATATTTCAAGTATTTTGTAACTTGAAATCATGTAAATATTTTATAGTTCAATATTAAGTTAAAAAATATTTTAATACCAGGGCCGGCAGGTGGTGTGGTGGTTAAGGGTGCTGGACTCCCAAGCAGGTGAATGTAGTTGTGCCTGCCACATTGCTTTCTCACTTTCTCTGTCTCTCCTTCACTCTTTCTCTCTCTGATAAAATAAAAATAAATAAATAAATAAACACAGTTAAATAAAACAATTCTTTAAAAAATACTTTAATATCTAAAAATAGAAAATGTAAATAAATGACCTTGATTGTGTATATTAATGTAAATAAAAAAGAAAACATAATTACTTCAGATGGCCACTGGACACAGTACTTAGCTTACTCAAAGTGGGCGACAGGGGCCAGCCGATGATGTGGTGAAGATGCTGGAATCCCACATTGGCCGGCCACAGCCGAAGTCCCAGACCTGGCGATTTGCCTTTTCACTTTCCCTCTCTCTCTCTGTCTCTGGTGAGTGCACATGCCCTATAGCAAATTAAAATAATAATAATAATAATAAATGAAATTAAATAAATCATTCATTTTTAAAAAAAACACAAAGTGGGACCAGCAGTTGGTGCAATGGCTGTGTCGCTGGATTACCATGTAGTTGACTGCAGTTCGAGTCTTGGACCTGGTGGCTTAAACTCACGCTGGGCATGTGTGCGTGCATGCCCAAGATCCCGAGAGAAGAATGGAGGAGAAGGGATTGCGGCGTGGCTATCCCCACTGGGGGGGATGATTTCTCGCTTTCTGTCTCTCTGTCTTTCTGGTGAGTGCATGCACTCTATAGCAAAAACCTCTAAAAAAAACAACCCACAAAGTGGGGGTATATTAAAAGGACAAAAGAATGGCAAAAAAATTTTCAAATTCATTCACTTTTTTTTTGGAGAGGTTTTTCCTATAGGGCGTGTGCGCTCGCCAGACAGG